TCTCTAATTGCGCGATGGCTGTTTTCAACGTTGGCCGTTTACACTAGCACCCCCTCCACAATATATTATAACATTGCGTTGATAAGTAAGACAATTTTACTAAGACACATATGTTTCTTAACAATTGAAAAATACCTTTATATTAAAGGACACAATTACTTAAATGTAGAGGTTTGCAAAAAAGTAAGTTTTGTTTGTTTGTTGTTTAACGCTGCACACAGCAATATTCCAGCTATATGACGGTCTGTGAATAATCGAGTCTAGACCAGACAACCCAGTGATTGATATCATTAGTATCGATCCACGCAATTGCGATACGATGACATGCATCAAACAAAGTCATCGAGCCTGACCATCCGATCCTGTTAGTCGCCTCTTACGACAAGCATAGTCGCCTTTTACGGCAAACATGGGTTGCTGAAGACCTGTTCTACCCCGGATCTTCATGGGTCTCAAAGTAAGTAGTTACCTACAATTTTGTTTTTCATACTTTGTTATTTGTAGTAATATAATAATATGACAAGGAGTATCATCATGGATAACAGCTTCTTTATAATGCATTCACAACGTTTCAGGGCTAACTTCACCTGATAAAGGGCACGAAGAAGCCCCGTAAAGTTGTGTGTGTATAATAAAGAAGTTGCCATCTATAATAGCGCTCCTTGCCATGTTTGCGTACAACTTCTAAATGTCTATAAAGACTCATAGATAATAATGTTCATGATAGATCAATATTTATATGCTTATAATTATACAATACATAGAAAGCAGTGACATCTTTCTTAAAATAAACACATACCCAAGGTACTAAACGAGTGGTGTACTTTGCATTATAACGCTGACGACAGGATAATGATTAATTGATACATTTGTGAAACAGTACCTATCGTTGTGAGTGATATGTTGGTCCATACCGTGAAGACCACGTTATCTTTCATGACAGATGTGTAGCACTCCTAAACGTGATGCAGCCAATGCTGGATCATCATGTTGTTTTAGATCCGCGACTAAGAGCTTTATGTTTGCGGACAGAATCAATCACACTTAGCTAGACGTGGCCATGGGCAGATATGTCTTCATAAAGGGACAAACATATCGCAAATTTCTACGAATTACATTCATCTACTTAGTTTTGTTTTACAATGACATTTCTATGCAATTTCATTTTCGTGATATGATCATAAAGAAATAAAAGGAATATTGGGGCACACTCATACACCTCGTGCAGGTTGAAGCGTAAACACAGTGTTAGGCCTATATGTACATGTACAGACAATGTTGAGATTCATGTGTAGGCGGCAATGTTAAGCCAATGTAGGTATTCACGGTCCAGGCGGTCATGTTACAAAAAAGTTGGGGCTCTCTAGTGTCGGAGATCTAGGTACCACCAAAGTCGTGAGACATAGTAAGACAATGTCGAGAGTCTGTGTATCGGTGGTCATGGTAAGACAAGGTCGAGAGTCTATGTGTAGGTGGTCATGGTAAGACAAGATCGAGAGCCTGTGTGTAGGCGGTCATGGTACAAGAAGGTTTGGAGCCTGTGTGTAGGTGGTCATGGTAAGACAAGGTCGAGAGTCCCTGTGTAGGCGGTCATTGTAGAACAGGTCGAGAGCCTGTGTGTAGGCTGTCGTGATAAAAAAAGGTTTGGAGCCTATGTGTAGGTGGTCATGGTAAGATAAGGTCGAGAGTCTTTGTGTGGGCGGCCATGGTAGAACAGGTCGAGAGCCTGCTTAAGGCTGTCATGGTAAAATGAGATCGGGAGCCTCTGTGTAGGCTGTCATGGTAAAATAAAGTCGGGAGCCTGTGTGAATAAATTTGGGAGCCCGTGTGTAGGCAGTCATGGTAAAATATGATTTGGAGCCTGTGTGTGGGCGGTCATGGTAAACTATATTTGGGAGCCTGTGTGTAGGCGGTCGTGGTAAACTAAGATTTGGAGCCTGTGTGTAGGCGGTCATGGTAAACTATATTTGGGAGCCTGTGTGTAGGCAGTCATGGTAAAATATGATTTGGAGGCTGTGTGTAGGCGGTCATGGTAAACTATATTTGGGAGCCTGTGTGTAGGCGGTCGTGGTAAACTAAGATTTGGAGCCTGTGTGTAGGCGGTCATGGTAAACTATATTTGGGAGCCTGTGTGTAGGCGGTCGTGGTAAAATAAGATTTGGAGCCTGTGTGTAGGCAGTCATGGTAAAATAAGATTTGGAGCCTGTGTGTAGGCAGTCATGGTAAAATATGATTTGGAGGCTGTGTGTAGGCGGTCATGGTAAACTATATTTGGGAGCCTGTGTGTAGGCGGTCGTGGTAAACTAAGATTTGGAGCCTGTGTGTAGGCAGTCATGGTAAACTATATTTGGGAGCCTGTGTGTAGGCAGTCATGGTAAAATAAGATTTGGAGCCTGTGTGTAGGCAGTCATGGTAAAATATGATTTGGAGCCTGTGTGTAGGCGGTCATGGTAAAATATGATTTGGAGCCTGTGTGTAGGCGGTCATGGTAAAATATGATTTGGAGCCTGTGTGTAGGCAGTCATGGTAAAATAAATTTGGGAGCCTGTGTGTAGACAGTCATGGTAAAATATGATTTGGAGCCTGTGTGTAGGCAGTCATGGTAAAATAAGATTTGGAGCCTGTGTGTAGGCAGTCATGGTAAAATATGATTTGGAGCCTGTGTGTAGGCAGTCATGGTAAAATATGATTTGGAGCCTGTGTGTAGGCGGTCATGGTAAACTATATTTGGGAGCCTGTGTGTAGGCAGTCATGGTAAAATATGATTTGGAGCCTGTGTGTAGGCGATCATGGTAAAATAAATTTGGGAGCCTGTGTGTAGACAGTCATGGTAAAATATGATTTGGAGCCTGTGTGTAGGCGATCATGATAAAATAAGGTCGAAAGCCTGTGTGTAGGCGATCATGATTCATGGTAAGTCAAGGCCTGGAGTATCTGTGTCGGCGGTCAAAGTCGGGAGTCTGTACCAGTGCAGCGTCGGAAGTCTGTGACTCTATGTGCAGGAGGTCCTGGCAAGACAAGGCTTGGACTCTCTGAGTAGAAGTCTTGGAACGATAATAACTCTATGATGGATTCGTATAAAGTCAGCACATTTGGAACATACATGTTACGTAATAACGATTTTTACACTTCTGCTTTTTCAAGATAGCATTTTCTCTCGATATTCTCGTCACTGAAATGACTTGCCAGCGGGTTGGAATTATCTGCAAACATCCATGATGACGGGGGAGTATTGGTTTGTCGGACAAGTATGGTTTCAATGGCCATTCGTGCATTAACAAATGACTTTAGCTGTCAGTGATCCGATTGACTTATACCGATATATCGTGTGGTGAAAGTTGAGAGTTTCCTTGGCTGACGCTATGCCATATCACGTTTGAAGTTACTCTAGCGGGGATTTCAATGTCTGAGACAGGCTTAGGAACATGGACACTGCGTATCCTTGCGTAAAATACCGGTTGTACTATCCGCTGCATTAGGTTTGTGATGGATTATGATGATGGCACCGCAGTTAATGCTTGTTTAGCGTGTATAATTATCTGGACATTGTGATGTTTAGTGGATACATCACTGCAGCTAATTAGACGATGTGGCTTTAATGATGAAATGCAAGATTATGACAGAAGATTGTTGAAGAAGATACGGCGGCACGTGTTTTACGGTTTGGAGCTGAATCGTGACTCCTTTTGCTTTTCATGTTTGAATGTCATTTTCAAATGTTTTCTTCAAATGTCTTAGCGCCATATTGGATGAAACTCAGTTCTGTTTAGAACAGACACATTGAAACGTTGTATCGTTAGAACTGGATTCAATGAAGATGTGTGGGAATATTTAAGTGAGTGAGTGGGTTGGAATGCGCGTGCATGCGACATGTGTCGCTAGAACTGCTTTCAAAGAGGATGTTTTGGAGTACTTACGTGAGTGAGTGAGTGAGTGAGTCTGGGATGGATGAGTGAGTTGGAACAGTTTAGGTTAGAAACATACTACATAGCCCATTAAAAATCAAACAAATACCTACTTTGTTACGAAGTAGTTATAAGCACACGTGTACAAGTCCTTATATATAAATATATATGTGTGTGTGAGTGTGTGTATGTGTGTGTGTGTGTGTGTGTGTGTGTGCGCACACGCGAATTTGCTTTCACAATCATATTACGTGTATATGCGCATACGTGACGTGAACATCTATTTACAAATAACTATTTTACATATCTATGGGCATAGTCTTAATACTACATTTACGTGTATATATTGCATACGCGAACAATGTTCAATTATACATGGTTTAATTCTACGTATACTTGTATAAACTAAACCATGCTCTTTATCTTGTTATGATGTTTTTCAACCTATGTATAAATGCCAATGCATTAAAATACACTTTCGCCGCCATATTAGTGACAGATCACATACTTTTCACAGCGAACATTCTTTAAGCGTTCGTCTTCCTCTTTGATTCCATAATATATTCTTCTGTACACAAAAGCTCCAGGGCATGTTTACAAGACTCAATAAGTTGCGGTACGGTTTAAACTGTCAAGGTCAACTGTTTTTTCCACTGTTTTAATCTATAACCAGTGCTATCTTTGAAAGAACTCTTCATGAAATCAATATTTACGTACATAACCGTAATTAGAATGTGTTACAACGAAATGCATAATTATAAAATATAATCATGTGATTACATCACAAATAAACATACAATCAAAATGGCTAGTTTTTCATTTTGAGCCAGATTATGAGGTAAAACAGTTCGATACAGCAATGCAATGATAAAAATGTGGAAAATACTTTGATTTCCCCAATCTAAGTTGCAGCATCCGTCATCATTTGTGGCAAATATAGCGCCATGATTCCAAGATAATGGCTTGTCATAATGGCCAAGACATCATTGATCCAGACAGTCTCATAAAATTGCCACTTAGGAATTTTGAAACTTATTAATTATAAGGGACAATCTCCTGATCAGACAAGTCCGAGAAAGGTCAAACAAGCCTTACCTCCACACACTAGGATGGAGCTGATGACACTAATCCACACACAGAGGTTGTCCACAAACATCATAGGGTACCTTCACCCATCGGGGTGCGCGGGCCAAGAAGGGAAGGTTCCGTGTATCAGTGTTTGGTTGTCATCTCTGGTATGCGTCCATGTAGAAAGGATTCGGATAACCGCTTAGCTCTGGTACTGGAGAACATGAAGTGTTGAGATATTTCCAGTTGGGATGAATCTGGAAGGCATACAATTATCAATACCGTGAACATTCTTGTACATGAATAATGTATGTTGCACGACATTTGTCTTATACCAACCAATTGGAAGAAAACGTGCTAGTCCGAGTTTAGACAGATCACATTTTTAATCTTAAGTGGATCTGTTCTCTGAAAAAGGTCACATCAATTAAGGGCTTGTCTTTGCTGGAGGAAATGTAAAAGAAACATAACTGCTCGTTAAGTATGAAGTGCACACGGTAGTGCAATGACGTGGCTTATTTCAGCCATTTATTGATCATTGATCATCATTTTTTTCTCCTATGCTATAGATAGTATAATGTGTGCCAGGTGTATGACATATGTTATGACGGCACCAGCATGGAAGTTTATTATATTTTAAATCTCCTAACGCATTTGGTGATATTTGGACAAATAAAACAAAAGGGAAATTCAGCAAAAGCTTTTAGCAAAGTCATATACTTCAGCAGCAAGAAGTCCATATCACTGTTTATTTGAATATAAAAAACCAAACAATCAATGATTGTATTTAAATATTTATGAAAATGTCAATATTGGCAAAATTGTTATAGTTTATTTATTAATCTGTCTTGAACATTTACAAAACCGATTGCCTTTCCGCTGAACATGCATGAACTATTTGATAGTCCGGTTTCAATATTAAGGTATTCGGACAGCATAATATAATAGACATTTGAGTGGGAGACCTGTTCAACACCAGACAGGCAGGTATAATAGTTTTCAACTTCTCTGGATTATGTGGTACCTTTTTATATATTTACTCTGGATAAAACAGATACCATCTGACGACCGCATATCAATTCTGTCAAAATGATGCAAAACATGAAAACAGTGTTTTTGACTTTTGTTTTAAGAATGTAAATAGTACTGATCGTCAGTGATCCATTCATATAATTTTCACCGCTATTTTGCGGTTTATGCCCCATTGAATCTGTTTCGTAAGATAATCGAGACGTTGACGTTAAAGATTAAAGATAAAGAGAGATGGATTTACATTATATTCAATACCCTACGTGAACTATTTTCTCAATTTTCATTTCAAATACAAACAAAGAGAAGAGAGTGGATATTCTGAAACATATATGATATAAACAAGGAGTCGATACCTAGTCTGCATCGCAATTTAGACTATACATTTTTGTATTGCTTGACACATGGTATTTGTATATGTATGAACAAATACTAGCTTGGCATGAACATATGTTTTTGGTTGCTCTTAGTTCCATTGTGTGTTTCCTCAAGGCTTTATAACCTATATTCAAATAAAAATCTAGCATTACAGTTTAGGCTAATAATCCTTTATTTAACAACCTTTAATTATCAATCATGTTCTGGGTTGGAAATGATATTGAATACAACCGTGTAAGTCAATGAATGATGTCATGATGTGTTAATTATAGAGGAATCTCTTTCACCGTATGCTACACTAACCCCCTAATACCAATATACACTAAGATAAGGAGCAATGACCGCATTCTATATTCTATGTTTTCATGATCGTAAACCGTAAAAGATTTTTGCACCACCTTTAATTACCGACCTTTCTTCGTTTTTTCTCAGAGTAATGTTTTTCTTAAGTACCAGCTCCGCCAGTTTTAGCCTTTATTCCTTAATGAAGTTATATTCATATGAACTGTGTGACACCATCTATCGACAGATACTGTCTAAATCCTGCAAAAGACGTCATACGCATTACATCCTGCATAGAGTTAATTTCAACAGAAATATACTTGAGTTGAATAATTCTGATGGCGCTTGTTTCTCGAAAGGTCAAAGAAAGCTATGAAAGATTTAATACAATGCCGAGGAATAACAGAAATCGATAACTATTTTAGGCTGTTCTTCAAAACCTGAATATTTCGAATTCAGACAGTAACCACACAAAGGGATACGGTATGACATAAAACACAAGAAAGATATTTATCTTAATAAATCTATTAAAATAATTACATTAACATTATATAACTAGTAAATTCGGTATAACTGCCAGCTCATTGTTGATTCTCTCTCTTCTGCATGTAATTGTGATAGAGGTTGTCAGTTAGATATGGAGGGGTCATGACCATTTATTTAACTTCAGATTTTATATCGAAATCATTCTTCGACTCGTCAATTTGCAACCTCTTGAGAAAAGGACGTGTCTTTAATGGCGAAAACAAAATAAAATTTGTTCATCGTATATAGATACGAATAACCTGCTAATAACGAAGACGTTTTAAGGTAAGTAAGAATTGTTTTTATCGCACCTACAAGCATTTGACTTTCAAACATAATGTCGCAAAGCCAGACAGATTATATAGGTGTGAAATGTCCGTTTTGCATAAGTTATTATTTACAAAACATACCTTCTTGATTTACAACTTTGCTACTAAGAAGTTTGATTTGTGAAGCAATTACCTTATATCGACTTTTCCAGATGATTATAGAAATGTAGGTAGTTGATATTGACAAAAAACACATACATACCCATCGACATAGCAACAACATAACCATACCCATGTTTGATGTAACCCGTTCAACGGAAACATGACGTTGCATGCACACACTCACCTTAATGGTAGTCCACAATCAGTTAAGCCATGTGCGTGTTTCTTATTCACGAGAACGTATCAGCAGCCATACAGACAGGCACCTCTCTACCGGTTCCCGCTTTCTAACAGAACAGATGCAACTTGACAAATCACACTCAAATATTTGCTTTGTAATATTTCTGCTCGTCTTGTCTACACAGCAATATAATCCAAGAATTGTCATTGATTATCTGTGTCCAGTTCTTCAGCATTCTAACACATGGTGCTACCTGCTCTTGCAAGCCAAACCGAGTGACTACAGGATTGAGTCTAGGCTCCAAGCTTGCTATTGATTGGAGGAACCGCCTTCGATTGACAGCCTCAAATGTGATGTATACATCCTCTAAGCTCGACAGCAGTGAAAGCGGAATATCCCCAGCGACTTATTCCTGATAATAGCTCTCTATTAGCCTTTTGTCGGGCCTGGATGGTCGCACTGAAGGCGACACTATGAACACGGACCGGACATGTTAACAAAAGGCGAGATGATTATCACACCATATTTAACAGCTGTGTAGAATGAGAATGTTTATAAACAATGAAACAAATATGCTTATTTCATATATTGTCCCGAGGAATGTTACCAATGACCATTATTGAATTCATATTGAATATAATGTATAAGAATGTGGTCAGGTTTTTGTTTGTCATTGAGAGTTTAATTGAATGCCATCATGTTAACCAATTTTCTGTTTGTTGAATATAAACTTGATATAACTAGAGTGACACTACATGCGGACTTTGGTGCAACGAAAATGGATATATACAAGTATAACATCTAAAGCAGTGTCAAAACAGAGTGGAAGGGGGAAACGTTAATTATACATGTCTAGAAACCTTTTAAGAACAGTAATGTTTCTCATCCTAATTGGTTTCAAATTCCACGTTTGAAAGATATCCTGTTTTAATTTATTGTATATTTATTGGGAGGGGGTTTGTTTTGGCAAATGTATTATTTGTTTTATCTAGTATTTTCCACATATATGTAAATGGCAAAGGACACAGATGCAAATGGCTGTTGGTATCACGCGACTCCTAATACCTAAGCTTAAACACTGACAAACTTAATATGGATTTGAATGCTCCCAAATATGAACTAGAATTACGCTATGTAAATGAGCATCTCAGATGGCTTATGTGATGATCCTCATACTAGCGAAGGAGACACTTGCCATGCAAAGGAGACCGCCTCCGTGGTCTAGTGGTAGAGCGTCCGCCCGGAGAGCGGAATGTCCGAGGTTTGATCCCCGGTCGCGTCATACCAAAAGACGTTAAAAGATTGTACTTGTTGTTACCCTGTCTGGTCGGCTCGGAATCAGTATACTGTGTCTGTGTCTGAGTGGGATATTCATGTTAAAACTTGTTGGTATCTCAGTGAGCTGGCACTATAAATCGGCATCAGTCGGACTAGTACAAGCAGCCACACGTACGTGCACGTCGCTACACAAGCGACGTGAAATTTAATTGTCACCTCACCTCACCTCATGCAAATGAATACAAGTCACCTCATCATCAACTTTTCTTGCAGGTCTGTAAGTATGTGAGTGAGTGAGCTGGGTTTAACGCCACTGTTATGGTATTCAAGCTATGTCAGCCTGATGTGGGAGGAAAGCTCAAAGTTGTTCAGGTGTAGACCAAGCAGGCGTTATGCGTGTAAAAATGCTGTATATTTACCCGGTACTGAAACACATAGTGCACAAAAGATGTGAATATGTACCAGTTATATTTTTTAGACGTTATAATTTTGAAGATTCGGATTACATATATTGCTAATGGTAAAGTATTAAGATTGAGTGTGTTTTTTAACTACAACAATATTTTAACTACTACACTGTCGCAAAACTATTTCACTGAAAAGACTATATATTATTATTATGAAAAAATGTTTCATACATAATTCAACAGAAACATTTAGCCAAGTCATTTTCATGGACAGCGTAGTTTTTGATTGATATTCAGAAGGTGAAACCTGCATCCGAGTCTTGTGTGACGCCATCCCAACAACAGATGCTACTGACAGAGTAGGTTAAAAGTGATGAAACTTGGGTGACAAGTGTACAATCGTGAAGACAAACACCACACTATTTGCATTTCCCTTGTGAAGTGTATGAGATACGTACACTGCCGGCTGACAGCTGTCTGCGGAAGAGGAAAAAGATTACACGTTCGCTATTCACAGCACAAACATCTAATATTGCCCTAGGGCATGTTATTGTATCCACAGATATGTGGGCGTTTCACTACTACTGTATCAGGTAAGTGATCAAACATTATTAAGATGGGAGTAGCGTGCTCTCCTATTTGTCTACAGTAGCTTGTTTTTAAGTATTTCATCGTCGTCGTCATCATCATCATCATCGTCGTCGTCATCATCATCATCATCATCATCATCATAAAAGCTGCAACAACAAGAAAAATTATGTAAGCGACAAAACCATTTTCATACCCATTACATATTTCTGCTAAGATCAGTATATTACTGAATCACTATCAATTAGTGATGACACCAGGTGTTCGCGAAAAGGTAAATGTTTCCTGCCCGAAATCCAACCTAGATAAAAGTCCTTAGGCTTAATTTTCATAAAATGCATACCTGTAAATTAGCGCTTAAGCTTGGCTTGATATAAAACACTTGTATATAAATTCTTTGGTATACTTAAATATAGTACACGCATGTATATAAGTGCTTACTGATAGGGTTACTATATTACAGTAATTATTGATTTTAATACAAACATCAACATAGGATCTTTGGATTAGTTTGATAGAAGTCACACCTGTATACAAGTGTTTACACCTAGTTTGATATAATACATACTTGTATAGTTTGATATAATATCCATATGTATATAAGAGATTAGGCTCAGTTTGATATACTACACACCTATAGGTGAATGTTTCCACTTTATATGATATAGTACATACCCATAGGTATATTGATATAACGTATATAGGAATATAAGAGATTAGGCTTAGTTTGATATACTACACACCTATAGGTGAATGTTTCCACTTTATATGATATAGTACATACCCATAGGTATATAGATATAACGAATATAGGTCTACGTAAAGAAACGAGGTAACACATATAGCAGGATAACTTCTTGTAAAGTGGCATTTAGAGGTTGTTGTGATGAACAATACATATGGACATTATGTCAACGTCATCACTTGCTTGATAACGCAGCTAGTATCTACACCATCGAAACAATGCATTGTAATAAAAAGTTGTATGATTATAGAAGTGTCTCCCTTGTACATATAACGGAAACTAAACAGACGTTAAGGGAACCAAGTGTGTGTCCTGGATTGGTTGGCAATCTCAGTACACCTCACTCACTGTCACAGTTTCATGGTATCAACATGGTATTGAAAGCTGTGGTGGTACACACGTCCCTGTTCTATCGTCATGTGTTCTCGAATCTTGCCATCTTTTATGAAATCGTTGTTTTCTTACCCTTCATTATACTTGGAAGCAGTTAATCAGTATATTGGCATTCGCAACATCAAAGGTACACAATAATAAGACCATGGATAATCACTGATAATTAGGTGCCAATCACTGAATAATGAAGAGGCTACCTTTTGCCTTAAGTACGTTAAACCTATATCTAAAGAAGGTGCGCAATTACTTTGTATTCATTTGCACTGGAACATAACACCATTATCATGTTATCAATGCAAATCCTTGCCCTTTACTCCAAACCTCGTAGTTAGATTGAATCCATCATCCATGATAATTGAATGTTACCCAATCGAGTATTAATGGGGTCTTTCGGTCTTGTGCCCAGTAAACATTTGCCTACCGCTGCAGTTGCATGATTTGTATCTTAATCCAGAGACTTGGGGGTCTTACAAAAGTTGGGAGAAGAACGATTAGAATTCACCCACATTTCCCTCATCCATCATGCGGTAGGTTGGTCTAGACACGGGCCAAGAAAAGAAAGCCCCACCATTTTCTTCTCATTACCAATGGCGCCAATCAGAGGACTCGGGTTCTCCTACCAATCGTTAGTACGACGTGACAATTGCCCCGATTTCAAGAGGACAGGGAGCTCTTTTTTGGAAAACCAATTCTTTGGGGATTTACTCCATGTATAGTTGCATCATGTTTGTGAGCTCTGGTTCTTTAAGATCGTAATGTTGGTGTAGTGCTTTCTCTGGTCTCACCACCAGCGATTATTGGCCATTTTTCCCAGGAGAATATAACAGGGTTATGACATAAGGGGCATCGATTGGACAAATTTATTATATTTACACTGATGTTCCAAAGATCGACCCTTGGAGACACCGCAGCCGGCTCAAGTCAATTCAGACTACTTCACAATAAAAAATAGCATTGTCGTTTCTTCTGGTGAATCTTAACATCGATAGTGATTCCTAATTGAAGCATGTCATCTTCAACACTGTGATTGACCTAGACTATATTGATGTTCAGCGTTTCTTCCTCGGAAAGTATTATTCTCTCGTGTACTCACTGGAACCGTTTTGTGTGCCTTGAAACAGCAGAGTTTGGAACGCGTAGAATTTTATTACATTTAACCCTTGAAAAAGGGCCCATCGTAATACTTGGGAACTTAATGATGGTGTGAACTGAATATCGCGCGGAGAACTGATGTAAGGCATTGTTGATGAATCGATCTTTGCCTCATTTTTACCTTCAAGAATGCTCATACTGTGTTAAGCAATGGACAAAAAACCGTATTTTGTTTGCATTAAATGTAGTAACCTGCTACACAAAGTTCCGCTTGCTATATGTAAGTGTAACTACTCATTCATGTTTAACATGGCATGTGTTTTGTTACTTAGCCAGGCATCACAATGTAGGTACTTCATGTCCATCACAGTGCGTGTATGTTTACAGATTCAAAACGTCACTACAGTTAGTCCGCAATAACACCACTCCGGGACTTCCACTTAGCAGCACCATGAATAGAAACGCATCCGGCTGCAAAAATGTCTTAAAAATTTGCATAACAAATATTCCATGAGAACTCAAAAGGGGCTGTAATTTCAAGACCAGTTTACGAGATGAAAGATGTTCTGTGATAAGAATTTATCCTGTCATTTCAGCATCTAACGTCTTCTTACATACTTCATGATCATGGTGAGCCTCTCATGAAAATGTTTAGAATTATGCTACATGCTGCAAAAACGCTTATCAAGCAGTAAAATGGAGCAAACGCAAATACGCACACTATCCACAAGTGACGCTTGACTGTATAATTAAACATCGATTCTTGTTCAACCTTTAATTCTTATGCCGTTT